TTGGTTTTTCCACACGCTTCTTGCGACCCTGTTGACTATTTTGAATGAAACGCTTGATTGTTCGATGATCACGCTTCAGAAGCTTTGCAATTTTAAGAGTGCTGCATCCCTCTGCAAGATATCTCACTATTTTTGACTTTTCTGAGCCTGTCAAGTCCTTCTTTTGACCCATTTTGCCAAAGGAAAGGAAGTTGCCTAATAATTATGCACACCTGATATAGGGTGTTGATGTCATTAGACCACACCCCTTCTCATTACAGAGATGCACATCACCTAATATGCTTAATTGGTAGTAGGCTTTCAAGCCTATACAGCTTGGAGTAAGACAACATGCATAAAGAGGATGATGTGGTCAAAATACTAATTTGCCTAATAATTCTGCACTCCCTGTATAAGGTGGAAATTGGAATGGCAGTCTTAAGGTGCACTGGCTCAGGGGTGCAATGTTTGGGTGACCAGTGACTGTGAACTCACAGACTGTGGTAGAGGTTCTTATTTATCCTATACCTGGTCTGACAGGAAGCTGGGAGCAGTGAACATCTTTTTCAGACCGGATAAAGAAGAACCTCTACCACTGTCTAAGAAACCACACTAGAACAGGAAGTAAAAAGGCACAAAGGGGGGGGTGGAGAGATACACAATAGGACTCAGAGCTAGGAAGGTCAGGTAATGGCATCAGATTTCTCAATACAGATAGGAAATAGACTGATTCTATCAGTATACTGATTCTTCTTTAAACCTCCATCCATATTTAAAATAATCGGACAGGTCACTGGGATAAAAGAAAAAAGAGGAACTAAAAAGATTAGTTATGTTTGTAGCTGATAAAAGCTAAAAAATCATCTGTAGGTGCGGAGCTCTAACACACGGCAACCATTGTACCGTTGGAGGTGATCCCTGTCCATGCCTGGGAGGATACTCTGACCTAATAGGGACAAGCAATGACTCCATAATGGCTGCTGGAAAATCCGGCGCATCAACTAAAATGAGGGATGACACGTGGACCCCTGGCATTGTCGAAGAAAAGCATGATACCATGTCCAACCTGGACAAAATTATCGACAACTTTTGGCAAAGCCTCTAGACCAGGATGCATCCACCTACCTAACAGTTGGCTGTCCACTCACCTCAAATGAGGATCATTACAGAAGCAGACCGCGGATTTGACAGTGGACTGGGCCCCAAAATGACAGCAAGGCAAGATGCTCCCATCACAACTATGTAGGGCGGCTCACAAGAGAGCGCAGATGCAGTGCTAGTACTCTCAAAGTGTCAAAGCTACCAGGGGAAGCCCCACTCATGCTGTATAGCACTGCTTGCTGGCCTGCATCAGGGCTTGAAGGTCTGAAACTTTACTGTCTACTGTGGGACTCTGGTTTGCCCCTGGTTGGCATAGGCTGATCTGAGATCCTGGGCTCCATATTGCCCAATCACTACTGAAGATGTTGGGGAGCTAGCTGTTTGATACCCATTACTGATGCACCCTTGTCCTTTATTTTGCTCATCTTATTATCCTCTTGTGTTCTTTTTAGCCTATTGTCATTAGTTACTTTTCACCAAATGTGACTAGATTGGGACCTCCTAGGGAAATTACTCTGTCAGACCCTATGCTGATATATGCTTGTCTTTCTTAAAACAATGTGCAGATACTAGGCATGCTAAGATTTAAACATTTGATACTGCTGTTGTCACTATGCGATGTCATGGTTACCGATAATTTGTTATTTGCTTGCACAACAAAATAAAGAATTATAAGAAAAATCAAATATATATATACACATACATATATAAATATATATATGTATATATATATATATACACATTATAGAGTGTTCCTTTAAAAGCATTAAAGAACTCATCTATATTCCAATTCAATAACCATATTCAAGCTATGCACTGTCACCCAACATAGGTGCTCCCAAAAATAATTATTTCTAGCTTGTTTAGGTGGTATAATTAACTTTTCAGATATTTTAACAAAGTATGTGGAAGGTGGGTGCAAAAAATTACACCACAGCTTGAATATTTAAGCAAAGGTGTTAAGCGTATTTTCAACAGACTTTAAAACATCTGTGTCAGAGCAAACAGAGGACCTATATTCCCAGTGACTTTTTCACGTTTGTCAGAAAGAAACATACTTTGAAGATGAATGTGATCCTTATTTCTTGGTTATTGCCCATTACACTATATTATCACCTGTGTAATGATGTTCCGGTTATAAAAAAAGGGACGTAGTTTCCATTAAACCATTTAGGCGATGGCCTATGATGCTCTCACTTGGCAGAGTGGGCAACCTGCCTATCCAGGTGTCGGGTGCCAAATCTGCCCAAATATACTGGTTGGTGGAGAATGTGCATACTATGCTCCTACTGCACTTGTGTTTCCTGTAGTGTGCCGGCAGCCGGAATATGACGTCACCCCTGGCCCTCCAGCACTACAAGGTGCAGATGAGAGTTGTGCAGGAATAGCATAGGGATTCCAGCTACCCCACTGGACCACAGGGAGAGGATGTACTCCAGCTCTCCCTGGTACAGGTAGGGAGGCTTGATGGACCTATTAAGGAAGAATCCAATTTGTTCTGCCACGGCACACACAGCACTGGAGGGTGAGAAATAGAAACACTTTAATTGTTTTTCTAATCGCTTTAACCTCTGACGATAAGACAGCGCCCAGGCATTTCAGATGACGTTATGAGGGGAATGAGAGAGTTCCTTTGATGTACCTTTGAGGTGAAGAAAAACCATCAAAACACAGGTCCTATACTTTGTAAAAGTGGTCAGATGTATGTATCATGCACTAGAGCTGTAAACCAATCCATCACCATCAACTATTTTTAATTTCCTATACTTTTGCTATAGCCATGTAGCATAATTCAGCTACTGTCAAAATTAAAGGCTGCCTTAGTGGTTATGAAGACAAGAAAGCTCTGGCACCGTTGCAGCATAATCTGTCAAACCATTTTAACACGGTTTCTACACTTAGATGGGTCCTTCCTGGTGCCTGTACTGTACCTGGCCTTTACTTAGTTAAAGAAACCAAAAGTCAGTTTTGTTTAGTGGAATAATTTATTTGACTCAGTTTATACTTTATATCAAAACAATCAAAGGACACATGGAGGGAATGGCCCAACCGAAAATAATGTGTTCGAGGTTCACAAACCTCCTTACCGCTTTTTCCCTTGTAAAACAAATTGGTCTATTTTGGATTGTAGGCATTAAGAGGGCTGTTATTTTAAATCAAACATGTCAAACTCAAAGGCTAGTACAGGCCAAATAAACAAGGTTTAAGTATAGGTGGGCCGCAAAAAATACAAAAACTTAACTTTTCAAAGAAACATAGGTTATACTGAATCCCCCCTCCCCCCTTCTGCTTAATCCCAGCACCGCCCTCTACAAAACCCCAGCCCCTGTTTTAAAAAAAACAACAAAAAAACAATATTAGCCAGCAAGCAGACTGCACTCACATTGCCACTGCCTAAAAGCGACTCCGGAGTCAAGCCTCTGGTGTAGCCCCAATGGCGCCGTTCGCATCCTGTGCCAAAGCAAATCCTCCCTCTACTCCTTGAAACCCTGTGAAGGTGGAGCACGTTGACGTCACAACTGAATGTGACGTGGCGTTGTGTTCCTCCATGCACCTCCAGGTCCTCCACTGTCCAGCCGCGGCCATCGCAACACTGACCAACAAACACTCACTGACAGACACACGCACTGACAGCCACACACTCATTGACAGACACACACACTGACCGACAGACACACACTCACTGACAGACACACACACACACACACACTGACAGACAGACACACACACACATTTACAAATTCTTGCACACACTCACAAATCATTTTATTTATTGCTCCCTATCTTTGGGAGCTGGTGTGGAGCCTCTCTCTGGGGTCAAAATAATCATTTTGATTGAGATGAGTCTCATCCAAGAAATGCTCAATTTGTACTGTTGTGTTAAATTGGCAGTAGTTCTTTGAAGGAGCAGGATATAATTTAGATGATTCACATCTGAGATATTACAAGGTATTTTAACTCTTAAATAGGGTTTGAATTTTATATACAATTTGATGATAGGGTTTGAATTTTATATACAAACACAAATATAAAGCACCGTGCTTATAGCAGCAGTAGCTTAGTATCCAACAGCTCAAAATACATAGTAAAAACAAAGAGAACGTTACCTGCGCTCTGGCCTAAATCCCCATGTACATTTAAACAAAATGGAGGCTCATTAGTTTTATTCCAATGGCCAACTGAATATATAAGCTCACCTGCCACGTCAAGAGGTGAGTCCTACTCTAGCCATTAGATTTGCTGATATCAGCCAAGAATCTCCAGTGAGACAGGAAGGGGTATTTTAGAAACCCTTTCACATTTAACCCTTTATAGGGCTTCTACACATACAATAAACTTTGCCTCCATTTTGTTTAAATGTACATAGGGATTAAGGCCAGAGCGCAGGTAACGTTCTCTTTGTTTTTACTTTGAATTTTATATGCTTGTTTGTGAGGGGAGATCCTGTAGGTTTAGCTATTCTTTTATATTATTGTTACAGTGATTTTTCTCATTGAATGTTTCTAGAAATGTTTGGTGTGTATGGCGATATAAATGTACTTTATTGTCCAATATTTTCATTTTGGTATTAGTAGTTTTACTTGTTTGTAATATATTTTTATATAGCTCAGTCTACTTACTTTAGATTTCTTATTCTTTAAAATGTAAAAAGTATATATCCTATCATGAAATGTTGATACCATAAGTGCTTTCAGCCTGGTGCAGTTTGTAAATTAGGTTCTCTTCTAAAGTCCTGTTTAGTCAGTGACTCTCTTTGTAGACCATATGAATTTTTACAGCATCTAAGCTTACACTGCAGTGCTCTGTGATCAATTGAATATGATTTCACTTATGTGCACATTGTTCTATTAAAAATGTTAACAATATTAATAGACAGGTTCATATGGTCCAACCGCCGCACACGAATAAAACGGCAAACCATGTATGTACCCAATAGGGCGGGTGGCCTTGGCGTCCCCCACCTGATTCACTACTACCAGGCAGCACAACTGACGCAAGCACAAAACTTGCACGCCCCATACGGAATCAAACGGTGGGTGGATCTTGAGCACGACATATTCGGCAGAGATCACCCCTCCCTCTACATCTGGCTACCAAAACAGGCCAGACCCCCCATGCCACGAACGTCCCCAGCAGTAATCAACACCATCAGAACATGGGATCGAATAGTACACAAAAGCGGCCTTACCACACCCCTGTCCCCGCTAACGCCAATACTTCGCAACACGCAATTCGCCCTAGGTATGACACCTAAAGATTTTACACGATACGAAGACAACAACCTCACGCGCTTCCACCACTTCTTCCAGGGACAACAACTGACGCCATTTCCCGACCTACAGCAAACGACACCTTTCCAAACATTTGATCTATTTAGGCACATTCAAATCAAAAGCTTCCTCTCATCCCCGGCAAACACACAAGCGGGAACCAAGGCATTAACCACCTTTGAGAAACAATGCATGCAAACTCCGGTACAGAAAGACCAAATCTCCGCACTCTACGCCCATATAATCCAAAACATCAAACAGGGCGCCCTCACATACGTGTCGGCTTGGGAGAGGGACTTAGGCCCAGCAGAAGACCAGACGGACTGGAGTGACATTTGGGAAGCCACAGCAACCATATCCATCTGTGTCAACCACAAGGAACAGGCCTACAAAACCCTAATGAGATGGTATCTCACCCCCCTCAAAATGAAACAGATGGGCAGGTCAGAAACAGACCTATGCTGGAAGGGATGTGGTCAGAAAGGAACCTACCTCCACCTATGGTGGGAGTGCACCCCAATTAAACAGATCTGGCAACAAGTAGCGACCATGGTCTCTAGATTATTACACACTGACATCCCACTTAACCCTTGGATTTGGCTGCTTTCAAAACCACACGCGGACATACCTAGAGCACAAAACAAAATGACAGCAAAAATCGCCCTAGCAACTAGGAGGGCAATAGCCGAAACTTGGGGCAGCACTGAAACACCGACCATGGAAATAATTAAACGAAAAATAGTAGACACAATCAAAATGGACGAACTGTCCGCCATAGTGCACGACACTACAACAGTATACCACAAAATATGGGACCCATGGTTCTATGAATTCCCGACCCCCACTAGCACACACCAAATGAGCCACTCGTAAAACACAAACCCGCTACGGGCATCCCAGACCATCTCACCCCGGGAAGAACACCCCACTGACTCCTCCCCCCTTTTTTTTTTTCTCCCTCTCCCCTTGCCCCAACCCCCCACGACACAACCTCAACCACACAACTACAAGAGGATCACACCAGCCATAAAGTAAACAGACCGAGAGTTAGACAAGGACAGACAGCCCGAAAATTGGGCCGTAACTATCCTCAACGATACAATCCCCCTCCCCTGCAAACCTCAGGAACTACATCCCAAAAAGGTAGAACAGCACCAAGGACGATACAAAAATCCGACATGAGAACTACACCCACAACAGGTTCGCTACAATAGCCTTACCAGGCTCACTTTGACCACCCACACACCACCCGACCGAACACCCTACGACGAACACCCCCCCCACCAAAGGGGAGGGAAAGTGAACGAGGGAAAGGGAACTGCGCCTTACCCAACTCAAGCGCAAACCCAGACGTCGAGATAGCACCCCAACCCCAATCCTTCTTTCATTTCTGTACCCCATCCCAAGATAGAGGACAGAAGACGAATAGCGCCAAAACCGATGTTTAAACTCCCAGGATATGGACAGAGACAGACACTGTTGACCAACTGCTACTATAGGCAACGAACATGCTACTCCAATTGGAAACTGAAAGTATTATAATGCAAACGTGTACAAAATGACCTAACTACCTATCTTTCTTTCTGTATCCCCCCATCCACAAATATCTTTTACAAATAAAGAATTTAAAAAAAAAAAAAATGTTAACAATATTAACATACAGAGTCTTCATGAAGAAGATGGAGGCAAAAAAATTAAAGGAACACTATAGGGTCAGAAAAACAAGCATTTATTACTGACCCTATAGTGTTAAAAACACTATCTAGACACCCTGGCTCCCCTTACCTCCCAAAATATAGTAAAAGCTTAATTTAATTACAGTCTGTTTCTGCTGGCTCTGCCCCTGATCTGCCTGCTTGGCTGACATAATCAGAAGTGTTTATCTCAGCCAATCACAATGCATTCCCATAGGAAAGCATTAGATTGTCTGAGACTGCCAAGGAGGCAGCGGAGGGGCAGAGCCAGCACAAGCCAAACACAGTCCTGACCAATCGGCATCTCCTTATAGAGTTGCATTGAATCAATGCATCTCTATGAGGAAAGTTCAGTGTCTCCATGCAGAGGGTGGACACACTGAATGTCAGTGCTGCACACTGTGAAGCAGTGCCCGAGGAAGCACCTCTAGTAGCCATGTGAGGAGTGGCCAATGGAGGTATCCCTAGGCTGTAATGTAAACAATGCATTTTCTCAGAAAAGTTGTAGTTGTTCTGGTGACTATACTGTCCCTTCAACACATTTCACACTCTTAAAGTGTGCCCTTTTTGTCCATTTTAAATGTTGGGGGCAATTGCTACTATTATAAAATATAAACCTCAGAACAATTTGGTCTGTTCCCTGAAAGAGTCACAAAATTCAGGCCATAAAGAAAACATTATACCATAATGCAGTGGAAGTAAATGCAAATTTACCTCTGCTACATTACCACATTTTTTGCCATTCTTTATTTTAGTTGGGCAGAGTTTAATACACAGATCCATAAATATTGGGACATCGACACAATTCTATTTTTTTTTAAATGAAATGAACAAGATGTGCTTTAACTGCAGACTTTCAGCTTTAATTTGAGGGTATTTACATCCAAATCAGGTGAACGGTGTAGGAATTACAACAGTTTGTATATGTGCCTCCCACTTTTCAAGGGACCAAAAGTAATGGGACAATTGGCTGCTCAGCTGTTCCATGGCCAGGTGTGTGTTATTCCCTCATTATCCCATTTACAAGGAGCGGATGAAAGGTCCAGAGTTCATTTCAAGTGTGCTATTTGCATTTGGAATCTGTTGCTGTCAACTCTCAATATGAGATCCAAAGAGCTGTCACTATCAGTGAAGCAAGCCATCATTAGGTTGAAAAAAAAAAAAAACCCATCAGAGAGATAGCAAAAACATAAGGTGTGGCTAAATCAACTGTTTGGAACATCCTTAAAAAGAAAGAACGCAACGGTGAGCTCAGCAACACCAAAAGACCCAGAAGACCACGGAAAACAACTGTGGTAGATGACCAAATAATTCTTTCCCTGGTGAAGAAAACACCCTTCACAACAGTTGGCCAGATCAAGAACACTCTCCAGGAGGTAGGTGTATGTGTGTCAAAGTCAACAATCAAGAGAAGACTTCACCAGAGTTAATACAGAGGGTTCACCACAAGATGTAAACCATTGGTGAGCCTCAAAAACAGGAAGGCCAGATTAGAGTTTGCCAAACAACATCTAAAAAAGCCTTCACATTTCTGGAACAACAACCTATGGACAGATGAGACCAAGATCAACTTGTACCAGAGTGATGGGAAGAGAAGAGTATGGAGAAGGAAAGGAACTGCTCATGATCCGAAGCATACCACCTCATCAGTGAAGCATGGTGGTGGTAGTGTCATGGCGTGGGCATGTATGGCTGCCAATGGAACTGGTTCTCTTGTATTTATTGATGATGTGACTGCTGACAAGCAGCAGGATGAATTCTGAAGTGTTTTGGGCAATATTATCTGCTCATATTCAGCGAAATGCGTCAGAACTCATTGGACGGTGCTTCACAGTGCAGATGGACAATGACCCGAAGCATACTGCAAAAGCAACCAAAGAGTTTTTTAAGGGAAAGAAGTGGAATGTTATGCAATGGCCAAGTCAATCACCTGACCTGAATCCGATTGAGCATGCATTTCACTTAATGAAGACAAAACTGAAGGGAAAATGCCACAAGAACAAGCAGGAACTGAAGACAGTTGCAGTAGAGGCCTGGCAGAGCATTACCAGGGATGAAACCCAGCATCTGGTGATGTCTATGCGTTCCAGACTTCAGGTTGTAATTGACTGCAAAGGATTTGTAACCATGTATTAAAAAGTGAAAGTTTGATTTATGACTGTTAATCTGTCCAATTACTTTTGCGATATTTTGAGAATATAACATGACGTGTTGTGAGTACTGCACAGTTTTAGAAATTAAGCAGTACAGGCTAAACTTCAGCAATAATTATAAGATATGCTATGTAAAAGAAAAAAATATATATATACAGTTGCAAGAAAAAGTATGTGAACCCTTTGGAATGATATGGATTTCTGCACAAATTGGTCATAAAATGTGATCTGATCATCATCTAAGTCACAACAATAGACAATCACAGTCTGCTTAAACTAATAACACACAAAGAATGAAATATTGCCATGTTTTTATTGAACACACCATGTAAACATTCACAGTGCAGTTGGAAAAAGTATGTGAACCCCTAGGCTAATGACATCTCCAAGAGCTAATTGGAGTGAGATGTCAGCCAACTGGAGTCCAATCAATGAGATGAGATTGGAGGTGTTGGTTACAGCTGCCCTGCCCTATAAAAAACACACACCAGTTCTGG